GCTGCTGAGCACTGTGGGGGCCACGCTGGGGGCTGTAGGGACCCTGCATGCTCAGGGCATCGACCGCCTGTTTCGCCACCTTCGTGGAAGCCCCTCGGGTGCGCGGCTGCGCAGGGAGGTGAGTTGGGGAGCCGGGGAGGGACTGACTGTGTGTTACGATGACTGACAAGTAATGGGAACTTTGCATCTTTTCTGCTTGAAAACCTTCTCTAAGTTTGTTCTAGGCTGTTTTTTGCTTACAGGGGACCTCGGGGATTACTCCCCTTGGCAATCCTTACTATGATCATGGGGCATCTTTTAAACGTGGGGGGTGGAAGGGACAAACCCTTGAGCCAAACCACTCTTGTCCTCTTCCCTCCCAGTCCCCAGCTAGTCACCACCTGAAAAGTCAGCCCCATGCAGGTCAACTTCCTCTATCTGATAATAAATGACCATCAGCAGCCTAGAGCACTAACGATGCCCTGCCTTGGGCAAACCTGGTGCGCAAGACCTCTATGCTGTTGAAAAGCCAGGGTGCTAGCACCCGGAGGACTAGGCTACGACTGACCTAAGCCATGATATTTTCAGTCCTCCCAAATGCATGAGCAAGACAAACATGGATGAAGGGAGACGGAGCACATACTTTACAGTGCTGGCGAAGAATATGGAAAGTACGTGGAACGTACCAAAGAGCAAACAGATCTGTCTTGGAAGAGGTGCAGCTGGAATACTCCTGGGAAGTATGTTCCCCTACGTTGGACCTGTTATCAGAAGAGACCCGCCTCTGGAGAAGGACATGCTCAGTAGAGAGGCAGCAAAAAAGAGGAAGACCCTCGGCAAGATGGAGTGGCACCGTGGTTTCGATGGTGGGCTCGAATATAAGACGGGTGAAGCTGGCACAGGACGGGGCGGCGTGTCATTTGGTCGTGCACAGGGTCGCTGTGAGTCGGAACCGACCAGACCCCAGGCCCCGCCTAGCAGCGGCAATGTGCCAGACATCATTCACCCCCATTTCATGACCACCCTCCCTAGGAGCCCCCTGGAACCTTGCTGCTCCCCCCACTGCCTGTGCTCTCCACTTCACAGCAGGTCTACACACACTTGGGGGTCTGTCCACCGTTTGTCTGTCAGTTGGTTGTGCTCTGGTGTCTTGTCTGTTGCCTGTCTGCTCTTTCCTATACCCAGGGTGGCCAGGTTTCTGTGGTGCTTCCTGACTAAGGACAGACTAGGAAGAATGGATAGGAGGTCCCCTGCGGAGGGATCCGCCACCGAAACCTCACGAGTGGCAGCAGACCCTTGTGCGGGACGATGGGCCCTTGGGTAGGAGGGCGTGCACACTACGACTGGGCAAGAGCTGCCCCCTCAAGGTAGCCCGGAATGACACGAAGTAGCGGAGCTGTTGGGGACGTCCCTTAGTGATGGAGAGTGACTCACAGCGAGGAGGGACGGGGGCAGACACCCGCTTGTCACCAGAAGGTGACGCAGTACGTGACAGAGGGATCTAGGAAATTGGAAGTCATCAAACAAGGGGTGCACGAAGACCGTACCCTAGGCATTGTGGTCAGGTGCTATCTAGTCCATTCTGATGCACGCAGCCCTGCCTACCCTCGCACAAAGCGCCACCCAGCGCAGCCCGGTGCCGTCGTCACCAATGCCCTTATGTTCCAGCCCATGGGGGTGGCCGCTGTGGTCATCTGTCTTGTCAAGCACCTTCCTTCTCCAGGGACTGGCCTCTCCTGACCCCATGGCCCAAGGACGTGAGATCAATCTTTCCACCCTTGCCTCCAAGGAGCGTTCTAGCGGTACCTCTTCCAAAACAGACTCGTGTGTTCTTGGCAGCCCACGGGCCTTTCAGTAGTCTCCGCCAGCACCATCGTTCAAAGGCAGCGGCTCTCCTTCGGCCTTCCTTAGTCAATTTCCAACGTGCCCACGCGCAGGAGGCGATGAAAACGCCGCGGCCACGGGCACCTCGCTCCTCAAAGTAACCTCCTCGCTCCCCAAGACTTCAACACGATGGCTCTTGCCTTTGGGGTCTGAAATGGGACCCACCTCTGTGTCAGCATTTACCCAAGGTCAAAGTTCAGAAGGTGGGGAAAGAGGAGGAATGGAGCCAGGAAAGAAGACCGGGAGGAAGTGGGATCCACCGGGGATGCGTTGAGGGGCTTGCCATGGACGAGATGGAAACAAAATGTGTGGGAATTGCTGGATGCAAGACTAAGCTCTGTTGTGCAAACGTTCACCCAATCCACAATAAAAGGGTTTGAAAAAACCCCAAAGACAAAACGCCCTGTGGGGCCGTGCTGCTTGTCACATGAGATCTTTTTGAGTCAAAACCAGACTCCACGGCCCCCAGCAGCCACAGCGAGCAGGGCTTCTTCTTGGTTCTGCCTCCTGTGGTGAGCACCTGGATGGGCGGCGGGTCCACCTGCGTTTCCCAGTCTGCCAATGGGTGGTGAGGCCCCTGACCTCACTCTTCCATCTGCTTCCTGTGTTTTCCACCTGCCTTCTCCGGCCCCAGGTCTACTGCTTCGGGGAGATGCCCTGGGACCCAGAGCTCATGCAGACGTGCTACCGAGTGGCCGAGAGGAACAGGGAGCGCCTGCGTCAGCTGACCGAGCCCTTTGGTTTCCTCGGGACCCAGAGCCTGGTGTTTAGGGTCCAGGATCTTGCTCAGCAGGTAAGGAGGGCGGGATGGCGCCCCAGGTGTGTGCTGGGGACATCAGGGCACCAGGATGATGGAGAGGGACCTGGCCTTCCCTCCAGCCCTCCAGGATTACCACACTGAGTAGCCAGAGGGCTGTGGTGTGGGACGCACCCAAGAAGTGCCCTGAGGAGGGTCCATCCCCAGGGACAGGGAGACTTCCTGAGGGAGGGCCTTCCGCAGTGGACCAGAGTGGGTGGGGCTGCTGGGCTGAGAATGCTTAGTGGCGGTGTTGGAAAGTAATTTAGAGAGACTGGGTGGTAGGTTTGGGTCCCTGGGTAGTACAAATGCCTTGAGCTTGGGTACTAATGTCATAGCTGGTGGTGAAGGAAGGGTCTGGCACTGTGATGCTGTAAAGATGTTAGTGGAAAAACGCCCCGGAGCCCGGTTCCACCCTGAGACAAACACACACTCACCAC